CATGTACAGGCAGTAGATTTTAGGATTCTTCTCTAGAAAAGATACAGGGTTACAGAAGAAACACGTACAGAAACCGACATTTGGATATTCCCCAATGAAAGAACCCACTCTACTCAATTATTCTACAGCTGAGCTCACCAACCAGCAAACTCGGGGATCACACTGAAACGTTCCATGAGCTCTCTAGCACTTTACTCTTAATTATGAATGGACAGCAAGGATCACCATGCACTTGAGGAAAGCCTCCAACTGGAAAGATTGAGGCCAAAAACACGGCAAAAAAGGGCTCAGAAGAGACTAAGACAATGCAGAGCAAAAGAAAAATTTAAAACACCTATAATTAATCCCTCAAAAAGAACAGATACTGCATTCATGAAGAATAGCATCACAAGAAAGGAACAAAAGAACAGAAAAGTTTTTCAAAATTCAAAACTATGAAATCATATATTTCTTTTCAATCAACATAAGGGCCAGAAATTAAAGAACTTTCCCTGAAAGGCATCAGAGATAAAAAGTTGGAGGAAAAAAGTTATGAAAATTAGAGGATCAATATAGAAGACCCAGCAACCAATTAAGAGAAATTCCAGAAAGAGAAAACAGAAAAAAAAAAAAAAAGGACAAAAGTAATCAAAGACATTAAATCCAACCAACAAAACAACCTGTCTAGAAATGAGGAACACAAACTCTTACTGGACTGACAGCCCACCACGTGTCCAGCAAGGAAGGAAAAAGAGCCACCCCAGGGATCCCACTGAACAATTTTAGAACAGCAAGGATAGAGAAGATCCCAAAAGCTTCAAAGAGTAAAGAATCCAAAATCAAAATAGCACTGGATCTCTTACTGGCCAAAATAAAAAAAGGGAAGTTATAAGAAAACGGAGCAGTAACTCCAAATTTCTGAGGAAAAATATTTCCAACACGGACATCTACATTGTATTAGTTTCCTGTGGCTGCCGTAACAAATCACCACAAACTGAGGGGCTCAGAACAGCAGCAACTTATGTTCTCACAGTTTATGACCTGGGGAGGCCTCACTTCCTCTGGGGCCCTAGGGGAGAATCCCCTCTTCGTCTCATTCACCTTCCGGCAGCTGTCATCATTCTTTGACTTGTGGCTGCATCTCTCCAACCTCTGCCTCTGTGCTCACTGCCTCCTCCGCTTTTGTCAAATCTCCCCTGTGGGTCTCTCATAAGATACTGGTCCTGGATTTAGGAGTCACCCAGATAATTCAGGATGATCGCCTCATCTCAAGGTCCTTAAATTAATTACAACCCCAAAGACCCTTTTTCCAAATAAGGTACTTTCACAAGTTCTGGAAATTAGGACATGGATTTACCATTTTGGAAGCCACATTCAACCTACTACATATATCCAGCTAACACATCAATAAAACATGAGGATACCCACACCCTTTCCCAGAAAACTACTGGGAAACGTGATCTCATCAAAATGAGGGAAAGCCAAGAGAAAATAAGACATTTAGTCCATGAAACTGAGGCTACTACAAAATGAAGAGGCAAAGGGAACTTCCAGGACAGTGATCAAGCAAAGTGACAAAAATCCCGTGCATATCAGTTAAAGAACAACCAGTCTAGGTTGTAGCAGGATGACCATGAAGACAACAGTATTGAGAAGTGTTCAACAGTTCTACTGAAGAGTGTAGGAAGACTGTGCTGCATATAAAACCAAGGAAATGAAGAAAAGGAGGCAACTGTTAAGTCCAGGAAAACAAAAACTATAAGTTGAAGAAAGAAAATGTTATCATGCATTACTTTGCCCCAGCAGCACAATGTTTACATTGAATACTGACTTAGTCAAAAACATTAATATACTATATTGGAAGGACAGAGTGTGGGAGGTATGGAAGTGAAGGGAAGTTACTAATTCTTTATCTTCCATAAAAGATTATCTCTCTTTTTTTTTTTTTTTTGAGGAAGATTAGCCCTGAGCTAACTACTGCCAGTCCTCCTCTTTTTGCTGAGGAAGGCTGGCCCTGAGCTAACATCGTGCCCATCTTCCTCTACTTTATATGTGGGATGCCTACCACAGCATGGCATGCCAAGCGGTGCCATGTCCGCAGCCGGGATCCGAACCGGCGAACCCCGGGCCGCCAAGAAGCAGAACGTGTGAACTTAACCGCTGTGCCACCGGGCCAGCCCCCAAAGATTATATCTAATATTGATAAAGAAATAGTATCAATATTATTTAAGATATAGAGGTGAATACTAGAAGATCTGAGAATTGAAAATGGTTACCTTGGGGGTAATGGGGCAACAAGTAGTAGAGACGGATGAGAAAGGACACTGATTATTTTATTTAGTCATAAGTTCACTTTTGAAAGTGTGTTCCTATTGTTCTGAAAATAAAATTTAAAAGTTTTAATGCAGAAAAAAGGAAAAGGTTCTGAGAAAAGTGACTTGTTTAGGGCCATAAGCCAGTTAAGAAATATCTGTCACAGTGTCTCAAAGTTTCTTATACCTTACAGGAGTCTGGAAATTCTTGAAAAAGGGTTCTTAAAAATAAAGTTCCAAGTGATAAGTGTTCCAAGGACACAAAAAAACAACCAACCAAAACCAATACACACATACCACCAAAAGCGTTCCTAATGTATGCTGGCTATAATGGATCCAACCTCTATGTTATATTATTACAACTCTATCTTGCTTTTTGCTTAATATAAAACTACTGGCTCTTTTTTGTTTTTGAACATAAGACTTTAACGTCACCTTTACGAATAAAAAGTATAAAAGGGTAAAGGAATTGAAGACAACAAAGGCATGTCCAGACTGGTGTCCTGATAGATGGCTCCCAGGGAATCCAGTTTACATGTGAGTGGACTCTAATTAGCCTGTGTTCTGCATACCATTATGCTCAGGGAAGGGACAGTGAGCAACTTCCATAAAAGCTCTTCTGACAGACTGCGTGAGGCGGGAAGGACCAGCTATTAGGAAAAGGTGCAACAGCAATGGTGCTAGGACAAGGTAAAATACGAGAAACAGGAAAATCTTATTCTCTACTTAATTAACAACCTGCTTTATCCGGCTCATTTATGACTCATTTCTGAATAGTGTTTTGGCACGTCAAATCTATTCCCACCTTTGCCTTCCCTTCTTCTCTTCAACTGCCTTAAAAGTCCACCTGTTTTAAGTAACCTACATAGATTTACTGATCTATGTCCTAAATGAGCATTATCAGTTACTTTGAAATTCCCCCCACAAATAGGGATAGCCATTTAATTTACATTTTACTGCACCTATGTAACTGATGACAATATGGTCGACACATACTAACTTAGACTTTGTATGTTGTCATGTTAAGATTTTATTTGAAGTTATTTGTCTATCTGAATTGTAAGACTTTAAAAGATACAAGTATAGCACCTGGTAGAAACTGGTACTTAATAAATATTTTTGGTATTAATAACTGATCCAGTCACAAATATTATAGAACTTTTATAGTTATTCAGATGCAAAATCAAGTACAATAAAAAGAAATAAGTTTGGTTGTTTTTCCATAAATATGCAATCAAAATGAAAACAAATATTTTCAAAAGAAAGAAATGTGTCGGGGGGGTGTTGGTGTGGGGTAAGTGGTTCTAGAAACAAATTACTTTTAGAGCAAAGCCACTTTGTTTTGAATCTCAAGCAATTTTCGACCTTGTCCCATATTAACACTATGCCTATGATCATTGAAGTAGAAAAAAAGAAAGTCAAGGGCAAATTGCAAATGGTAAGAAAGAAAATGCAATGGTGCCGTTAGAAAGAATCCTTCATATGCTTTCATAACTCATGAAGATAATAATCCCAAAGCAAAAACAAATGCTTCTACTAAAAGTTATTTTGAAACCAACATAAAAAAGAATAAAAAAAAGTCTTTCCTTTTCCATCTTCCCTCTAGCTCTTTCTCATCCAATGCTGCTGGATCTTTCTCCAATTCTTACAGTGAAATGTCACTAGTGAGAACACAGCAGGTCAGACTTTTTAAGTAAAAAGTATAAATCCACAAACACAGCATTCATGTGTTTATAATTACTTCTGACAAGCACTGAAATAGCAGCACCAGTGAGCACCATTATTATATAAACATACAATTTGGATCCTTTGATATTCAAGACATGACAAAGATAAATAGCTTAGAAAGCTTTTGTCAAAATTAGGTAAAACGGCAACTTAATCAAGGAACTTGAAAATACTTCAACCCTAGGCTAGCATGAAATTCCTAAATGCTCTTCTTGCCAGGGTTTCAACTGTTTTCCCATAACACAAACAAAAAACTTATGACAAAAACTCTCATTTCCTGATTGAAGGACTTTTTGTTGGCAAAAGAAATGAAGCCATCATATAAAGCTATGTACTTTGCTTTATTTATTTATTTATTTTTAAAAACAGCCCTCTTGAGATCAGAGCACATTTCAGTACTTTCACCTGGTACATTAAAAAGGAAACTATTGGTGTCCACAGGCCAAAGGGCTGGGGAAGCAAAGTTATCACGCCCAAGACCGTGGAAGTATTTAATGTTCGGAATCTCCCAACAACAACCGAACATCACCAGGCTGCCTCAGTGTAAAGAGGACTTTCCACCATATTTCCCAAAGCAGCGATTTTTCTTATTTTAGAAGTTACACACCATCACAATTACCTCTGTGGGTAAAAGTCTCAAATTAAAGCTGTATCCCTCACAAAGACTTCTATTCTCCAAAATGAGTCAAGGGTCTAATTTGAGACAGAAGAGATATGGCTCTAACTCTAAAAAATTGACCTCAATCCATTGGTTCCTGAGTTCTAACAGCAGGGGTGTGTCATCTATAATTGGCAACTTCCATAACGAATAAATCATCATGAAACTTAGGAGTACAAACTTTTCAATTAGGCTGTGGGCATGCAGAAATTTTTTTTTTAAATCTGAAAAACCTACAATTCTTTAGTGTGCTTTTCACCCCAAAACTCTTTAAGTTTTAGAGCTAAAAGTCTGATGCACTGAATCCTATATAAAAGTCTTACCTGATTGGCTTTTGAGCTCTTTCCAGTTGAACTTTTCTCATTTGTATTTGCATCCATCCCTCTCAGAACGTTGATGAAATCTTTTTTGGAAACAGTTGATATCAACTTAGCACGCTTTCTAATAGAGCCTCCAGCTTCTTTCATCTTTTCATCCACGTTCTTTTGATGCTTCTGAACAGCATTAAATAATTGCACCACACCCCTATAGAATATAAAATGACCAGAACAACATAGTTAAATAACACTTACACTAGAATACAAGTTCAGAAAATAGGAACAATGTATTTTCACTGCTTAGGAAACAGGCAAGCATTTAATAGTCACCTAAAGGAAACAAGTTGAATGAATGGTTAGATACATCTGAAAAATGAACATACATTTCAATGAATAAATATAAATTTCTGAATAGAGAATAAATACATGTGAAATGATAAGTGATTTTTTTCAGCTTTGGTCTCTCTAAATCAACTTCTACGCCATTAGAACTAAGAGTTACTTTTAACACAAACATCTACTTCTCCAAATATAAGCATATAATGACTGAAGGCATTACAGTGTAATGGAAAGAGCACAGCCTATACAATTAGCCAACCATATGACTCTAGGAAAGATTTTCTGGATCTCAATTTCATCTGTAAATGGGAAAAATAATACTCAAGTAGCTTAAAAAGCATTCAGCTATATTATCTGCAACTCCTATGATATAAAACTAATTTTAAAATCCTATCTTAAAAAATATTTAAAATACTTTGTTCTGCAGTTAAGTTCATTCAAAGAAGAATTCTGAAGATTAAGCCCTGTGGTATACATGGCAGTAGCCATGAGCCACATGTAGCTAGCGAGCACATGAAATATGGCTAGTCCAAACTGCAATCTGCTCCAAATCTAAAATACACACTCGATTTTGAAGACACAGTATAAAAAAGAGAATTTTTAAATCTCATTAATAATTGTTTTATATTGATTACATGTTAACTAATAATTTCAATATGTTAGGTTAAATAAAATACACTATTGAAATTAATTTCACCTCTTTCTTTTTACTTTTTTCAATGTGGCTAGAAGAAAATTTTAAATTACATATGTGGCTCATTTTGTATTTCTATTGGACAGCACTGATTTAGACCATTAACATCCCTTCCAGCTCTAAAATTCTGTAATCTATTAATTTTCCTGTTACAATAAACACTGGGAGAGGCAATCTGCCATGAGCCCTGAGCATACCTGCACATTCTTGCTGGGTTCTTCAAGAAAGCAAGGCCCTGACTGCTCTTACCCAGGCCGTTTCTCAGGTTTGTGTTTGCAACACACAACCTTGAGGGATGAGGTAACGTCTCCTCCGAGACAAAGAGCAGGCTTATTACCATGCACCATAAAAGCGACAGATTCCCAAATACAGTGTTTCCTCTCCTGTAACACAACCCACTGCACACACAGGCATCCATCTAGGACACCTGTGCTGCCCTCAGGGACAAAGGGAATCAGTGGGAATGTGAACCTCTGGCTACTGCTTTTGCCATGAGTAACAAAGTCCTTTGTCTCTGACCCACAAGTCTCTTGTCTTCTGCTAGCATCCAAAAAACTTGAACAGTCTAGCTCATTAGTTTTTAAGAAGGGAAAAATGCCATACTCTTCACAGCAGGGCTGAGACCAAGGGGAGGGGAGTGAGGTGCCCAGGGAATAAAATTTAAGGAGGCGCCTACTCTCACGTGCCTACCCTGCACTTTTCTAAGTTCTTTACACATATTAATTCATTTAATTCTTGGAGGAACCCTATAGGGTAGGGATAAAATTCTCCTGTTTCTACAGATAAATAAGCTGAGACAGAGAGAAGTTAAGCAGCACGCCCGGGATACTGAGCTAATTCAGCCAGTGCTGGGATGTGAACCTAGCAGTCTGGCTCTACCGCTCACACTCTGAACCACCATACCTCACTCTCTCACTGTACAACTCCCAGATGGATCAGAAAATGGCCAAAATAATGCAGGTAACTAGAAAATTAAAAGTAATTCCACTAAATAATTGCTATATTCTTTAAGCGTCAACTCAAACGTTGTCTCCTCTGTGAAGCCTTCCCCAACTCCCTGGATGATCTCCTGCTGTATGTTTCCAACACAGAGGATATGTGTCTATTCTCAAAGAGACTATAATTCCTACAGATGAGTAGGCAAGGACCACCCAGCAGCCATCAGATTCTCTCGAGCTTTGGACACAGAGGGCATCAAACAAATGTTTGGTGCCAATGATAAAAAATGCAGAGTAAAAAGCACGAAGCTGCTGTAATGTGCAATTTGTTATGCCGTAAATATAACGCAAGATAACAAAAATCATCATCTAGTGCCATAAATTTAGACAAGCATCCTAAGGGAAATGCAGTAAGAGGACTGATTCCACTGTTCTCCTAACTATAAAAACAAGATGATCTGAAACAAGTTCATACCAAATACACGCTTAGCACCTTATATTCTTGCCTCATGAGACCTGCAAAATCTTTGGTTGAATTCAGTATTAAAGAGGCAGGCTTAGACATAAATCACTGAGCTCTGAGAAGGGAGAGCTTAAGAATCAAATCTAGTCAGAAATGGATCACTATCAAAGCTTTAGCATACTTATTTTTTTTAAAGGGCAAAAACAGTGTCTTACCTCGTTGCAATCCTCTGAAGATTTCTCTCTGTTTCTTTGTCTTTGACAACATCTGGCTTTACTCTGCACATCATTTCCCATTCCCGCTTCTTATCAAGCTGTGTTATAAATATTGTTATGTGAAAGAATATTAGGCATGTTTGAAAGTGCAGCATACTTTGATATGATATTCTGTGAAAGGACAAAGGTAATAAATCATTCTGGCTTAGTTTGTCATGGACACCTTAAAAAGCACCCACAGTTGTAGGGGTTCAGCTCAGGGAGCCTGTGGTTAGCACTCAGTGTGTCATGTGAGAGGCACAGAGTGGGTTTTCGTCAGGCTCTCTGACAGCAGGGGCCTGGAGAGCTGCCAGCATCCTTAGCGAGGCAGGACAAGGGAGGGTGTGAGAGGGTCTGCCAGCACCAGATCGTCAAAGCATCAGGAGGGCTCCAACGACTCTTTTTGGTAACCACAAGTTTAAACACTGTTTCTCTTTGTTTTCAGAAACTGACTTCCTCTACAGTCAGAATTATGAAGAACTTGTATCAGCTTTTCAAAGAATATCATCATATCCAGATTTATCCTATTTATGCAGTGACTATTTTTCTTTTCACAAAATCACTTAAATCCGCTTCTCCTCTTATGGCACATCTGACCAATATCCTTGCCATACCTGGTGTATCAGTCACAAACTACTGGAAATTGATTCTCTGCTGTAATGCAAAGTAGAAGGGGAGCCAGGAAATAAGAAAATCCCATAGACAACATAATCTAATTCAAAGTTGTCTTCGACTAGTATCCTGGTTACAGGCATGTGATTTGATATACTGCTTCTCCAGGTGCCATTCTCAGGCCCACCTATCACCAAGTATCAAATATACTGAATATGATAAACTACCCACCAAGAAGCTGGTGAACATCAAAACCAGCAATAAGAACCAGCGGAAAAAAGTCCCCACTTATCTCTTCCTTTTCTCCACTCAACTAATCTCTCATTTTGTATTAATGAAAATGTCTAATCACGGTAAAACCAAATTCCTGCTCTTGCTACAAAGAATTAGCCTGATGCCTTTCTAAAGGAATGAATTTTTCCCCAAATTACATAATGTATGTTAACTGTCATGATATTTACTATTAGATTATGCCAGAAATAAAAAATCTTATTTTCAAGCCTAAAATAGTCAATTCTTAATTATCTATAGTACCCAAGGGATAACAGGCATGTATAATCCCCAAATATTTTTTAATTTTGAAACATATTTTTAGACTTATGATTAGAAGTAAATACCCAATATTCTAGAAACTGATAGTATTTGACATTAAGAAACAATGATAATTTACAGACTCTACTCAGAAATGTACACTAAGAACATCTGTAGCTACTGTGCCAAGTATCCGGTATCAACATGTGTTTTCATGCATTATGTAGACAGTGTCACCTCCAGCACATGAAGCTTTGACCTAGAGCAGAGTTAGAGATGCATTTCTCTTGGCTTCAAAATGGTGTTCTTACTCTCACTGGAACATTGGGACTAAAGGTAATTAAGGATTCTAATATTTTTAAAGCCTCTTCTAGCTTTTGCCAGATAATAGATTCAAATTTTCAATTGAAAATGTATCAGTAAGTTAGAGACAAAATTTATCTTAAATATAGTACAATGAGAATATTGAATTAATAATAGAGCATGTTGTTTCTAAAAGCAACACTTGAAAAGTTCCATCTCTATATAGCCTTTCACACAGAGCAACCGGCATCAGAACACAGAAAACATCCATCTTGAAACAAGGTAAGGGGCTGATGAACTTAAAAGCATTATATGCCAATTCAAAACTAGTTTTCTTTCATTTTTACCCATAAAGTACCTCTTGGAAATGAGTACTTTTATGTTGTCAGTATGATAGTAGAAAGTTATTTTTTTCATTGAAAAATAATACCTCAGTAACCAAATATTTTAGACACAGAGCTACTTCAAGTACAAGGGATATAAAAACCTTATTACTATTTCTTTATCTTTATAACACGCAACAGCAAACTTAAGTCCAACTTTTGGCCTTTAATTATCAGACTGTATTAGTCTAACTTCTATCATCAGTGGTTTAACAAAAGATATAACGAATTCAACTTAATCTAGCAGTGAAACAGTTGGTTCTCAGAAATAGAACCAACCCCTGACAATGACATCTTCACAGATTTATATAACAAAACAGGTTTTTAGCAAAAAGTAACTAACATGATTCTATTAGTTCAAAAGCTAATCAAGTTAGATATGGACAGCCAAACTGAATTAAAAATTTAGATCCACGAATCACTGCCTCATGTATAATTAGCTGATTTTAAAAGGATAAATTTCCTTGGAGTTTACATTTCTATTGCTTTGCTTAGACAACTGAAAAGTGAACATGCTCAATGGAGTAATTTAGACCACGTAACCCTGGTTATCCACCCCCACCTAAAAAGCAAGTTAAAAACTGGAATGTTAACTGGACAAACACTGCAAGGAACAATGTGGTACAGATAAGAACTAGACCAGACAAACAATCTAATCTACAAAACAACTGGTAGGACACACCTGTTTTCTTTTCTCTAGTCTCTCTTGCTTTAACTTTTCTTTTTCCTTTTCCAGCTCTTTGTTTTTGACCAGAATGGTGGGTTTACTTTTAGGAGTTTTTTTGTTAAGGATTTTAGCCATGGCATCTGCCCAGCCCACATTAGTCCCAGCACTAGCTTCTGCAGCATCTTCGTTGTCACAGGGTTCAACTTCATCTTCATTGTCAGCGTCTATTGCTTCATCATCAGAAGAAAAGTGATCCTTTTCCAATCCACAGCTTCCTACAGAACCTAAGAGTAGGAAAAAAATTCAACCTTAATACCCAGTTAGAGGTGCTATGGCCATGGCCAGGCCCCAGGATCCTTCATAAAGCTAACAGTTCTCCACTTGTCTCGATTCTCAGAAGACGGGACCTTTCCAAGTCCCAGAGCTAAAGCAATAGTGGAGCACAGGAGGACCCTCCCTCCTACTGCCATCAGCTCCCAGAGACCTGGCCCAGCCATGGTGACAGGGGAGGCCACAGTGGCTTCAGCACCCAGGACCCAGGCGGCAGAAACAAATCCAACAGCCCCTACCCTTACTGCTGCCAAGGTGCTGACATGGGGCCAGTGCACCGTATGCTCAAGTCCACGGGCCTTAATTGTGTTACTACTTAAAGAGACTAATGAAGATTATTTTAAACAAGCAACAAAAAGCTTCAATCTGTTAAGAAAATGTACAGTGTTTCCATGGTATAGAGAAATCAGAAAAACGTCTCTGAGGGATCTGGCCCAGATATTTAAAATTCTGAATTTGTGTGCAGAAAAATCTAAAAACCAGCCTCCTCTTACAGAATTTGCATACAACATTATAAAATTGGGTGTTCTAACATTTTGAAAAGTAATCTAATGAAGTAATATTGTACCCAAGATACTGAAGATTTAATTGCACTCCTGAGTGACTGAATAAAAATACCAGGTTGTGAGTTGAAGAGACAAAAGTATCTGTTAAATTTTATCATTCAAAACCACCAAAAAAGGCATACACATGCTACCAGCAAGTTGGTTCATCACAGAACATTCAAACAGCTGGGGTCAGAGGACTGGCAGAAACAAGAGTCTAGTCAATGGCCTTGCTTGAAAAGCAACTTGTTGAGAAGTTCTAGGTACTTAAAGTTTTGAGCCTTTCTCAACTTCTGAAGTTAACTGTACTTGAACAACGAGAGCACAAGCAGCCAGCGTAGTCTGTGTGCTTCTGTACAACCCAGAGCCTTCTGGAGAGCTTCTGTTTTGTTCTCAAAAACCTATGGAACTTAACAGGAAATACTTCAAAGGAGAAAATCACCCAACAGCTTAGTAACTTGGAATATTTCTTAATAAGCAGAAGAAGAGCTAACAAACAAGACTGAGAAGAAGTTACCAAGTCAGAAGAAAACTCATAGACCAACAACTGCCCCTTAGCAGTACAATCTTCACGGAACAAATTAATTAAAATGAAATTTTAAATACTGACTTATTTGAAGAAGAAAAAAAAAGGCCTAGACATAAACAGGTTTCCTTCTGCTTCCTACTCAATTCAGTTCTGATGTCCTCCCATCCAGATCAGAAACTTCACTCCAACCTGCAGGGCTGAAAAGCCATCCACAGCCCAGGCACTGCACTCCAGGGAGTCTGCTCCCGGGCCATTGCCCCTCTGGAAGCTACACCTCGGAACCAGAACCTCTGCTTCCACCTCTGAGAAGTCTACTGACTGTTTCTTGTTGTTACTGCAAAAGTATCTATCTGTTCTTCAACTCCGAGCCCCTCTTTCATCTTTAAACTATTTCAACAAAATGTGCATATTTTGCTTTCAGCCTTTCAGCCTTTTTTTAAAAATATCAGCTTACTGCCAGGAGCAAAGTGAAAGGAACTGAATGTAGAGTCAGTTGTGATTCTCAGTGATCCTTTCTAATCTCTTGACTTTAAGGCACGAATTGAGAGAGAATTGCTGGAAAGACCTGACCTGTAGCTGGTCATTATAATACCTGCAATTTTGGTATTACTTTTGCATACTATCTTTATTTTTTAAGTGCTGAGAATTCAAGAAATAAAAAGGATGTAAAACTAAATATTTAATATATTTCAAAAGAAACTTCTAACAGTAGAAAACAGCAAATAAAAACATATAAAACATTTTATACATATATACATAAATGAACCTCAAGTATATGAATAAAAATGGAGTATCCTCAAAAAAGTAACAGAACATTACAGAAAATTAGAGTTAAAGAGAAAAAGCAAAATAATATTTTACATTTTGTTGTTGTTGCTAGGGGAGAGTCACCGTGAGCTAACATCTGTTGCCAATCTTTCTCATTTTTTTGCTTGAGGAAGATTAGCTCTGAGCTAACATCTGTACCAGTCTTCCTCTGCTTTATATGTGGTTTGCCGCCACGGTGTGGGTGATGAGTGGAGTAGGTCCACACCCAGGATCCAAACCCGCGAACCCGGGCCGCCAAAGTAGAACATGCCGAACTTAACCACTATGGCACAGGGCCCACCCCAACACTTTACGTGTTTAAAAAGCACAATCTTAAAACATAAAGTCTGTCAACAGTATCAAATAATATTGATAAGAGCAAGAAATCACTAACAATTGTACTGCCCTAATGTGCTGCGTATTTTCTTAATAAAGAGAAAGAATTTTTTTAAATAGAAATTCATTTGCCACATATTTAATTTGAAGCCTTCTCTGTATCCTGTATGCTGAGTAAATTTAATAACTCTAAGGACATATGCCTCTAGGCTTCAATGTACAAACACAGATGATATGAGAACTATATTATTGCCCACAATATTTAAAGAAAGTATCTAAATTTTGCAAAACAAAAGCTGATAGCATTCAGTTCAATTCAAAACCTATCATCAATTCAGTGAATCTGAGTGTCTACTATGTACCAGATTCCAGAGTCACACAATTTTTCCCCCAGAAGCCTCTCCTAAGACCAGTGTTCCCTGGAAAGTACATTGAGAAACAAAGTTTGGAGAATGTAGTTAGCTGAAAAGTAAATATATTAATATTACATGTTTTATTTCTCAGAATCAGTAGCACTGCACAGGTACTAAATAACAAAATACACAATTCTATGAAAAGTAAGCATTTATATAAATGTAAAGAGGCAAAATGGCTTAACAATTCGTGGCAATGAAGAATATCTGGGGGAGGAAAAGCTGAAGTCTTCACAGCTCCTGGTAAAATGTCAAAACTACAACACTGACATCTAGTGTTTTGTCCTGATGAATTCACACACAAATTGCAGCAACTTTCACATTTTTCAGCTCCACTGTAAAGGCAGCCATAGGCTTTATGACTGTACAAGCCACTCCAATTCTCCTTTTCTAAACCTTGGCTATTTTTCCTTGGTGTGTTTCTTACCCAGCTTTACTACCATAACATTCATATCATGGCCACACAATAAATCCATGAAAAGTTTCATAACAAGTTTATACAAGCTGCACTCACCCATCAACGAAAACAACAATTCCAGAACTCCCTAAAGCTGTAGTCTTTATTTTTATTATTTTCTTAATAAAATAAAGCTGTAGCTCAAAAGTTTTTAGTCAGGCATTCACTGCCAATGGAAATGATGTTGTTTTATATAAATTAAAAATGCCAGTGTATTGAGGTCTCCCAGCATACCATAAAACAGGATTTACTTCTAGGATACCAAAGATAATCACCATGCAAATCAGAAAGTAGATCTTAAAAATTTACTGTATCCTGGGGCTGGCCCCGTGGCCGAGTGGTTAAGTTCGCGCGCTCTGCTGCAGGCGGCCAGTGTTTCGTTGGTTCGAATCCTGGGCGCGGACATGGCACTGCTCATCAAGCCACGCTGAGGCAGCGTCCCACATGCCACAACTAGAAGGATCCACAACTAAAATATACAACTATGTACCGGGGGGCTTTGGGGAAAAAAAGGAAAAAATAAAATCTTTAAAAAAAAAAAAATTTACTGTATCCTACAAAGATGAGATTTTTAAATTTTTTTCATTTTTATTTTTGCTGAGGAAGACATGCCTTGAGCTAACATCTGTGCTAATCTTCCTCTATTTTGTATGTGGGTCGCTGCCACAGCATGGCCACTGAGGAGTGGTGTAGGTCTGCACTGCCAAAGCAGAGAGCACTGGACTTAATCACTAGGACACAGGGCTGGCCCCAGGATGAGATTTTTTTGAACATTCCACTAGCTGATCTTTAACAGCAGAAGTTAAGTGGATATATCCAGGGGTTTAAGGGCACTAGATAAGTTGAAAAATTCCTTTTAAGTCCTGTGTGTTATCTTAAATATTAACTCTAATTTTGCATTCTATTTAAAAAATCTGGAAATTAAGGCAAGGCTACAAAGAATGCTTATTGGAAGTAATAACTAAAGGTTATCGTAGAAACGTTCTACTATCAGAACTGCCCAGGAACCGCCAGCCACAAGAGCCAATTGAGTGCTTCACATGTGGCTACTACAATTGAAGAACTGAATGTTTAATTTTATTTAATTTTAACTACTTTAAATTTAAAAAGCCCTATGTGGCCAGGTGCTACCATACTGGACAGGGCAGCATGTGACCTTTGAGGGACTCAGAGAGACACAGGGGTTTCTCATCTCCTGTGCCTTTTCCCCAGACTTCCAGCTCCCTTTCAAACCTGGCATCTGTTCCCAACCCCACACCTGGTCAGCGCTTGCAGGAAAGGAAGCCATTTTCCTCGGCCTTTGGAACTGAGATCCAGTTTTCAGAAGACTAACAGTCTCACAGTCCCTCAGTATTCATTGAGTACTCATGCATGATGAGGAAGGAAGGGAAAACGAAAATTCCACATCTAGGTTTCTTTCCCTGAAGAACTCAAATGTCTAGTAGGGTAAATAAGTCGCTTAACCAACTGCAAAATTTGGTTTTGCAATTTGTAAAGTTTGTAAGTGTTCTAAAAGAAAAGCAATGAAGAAAGGGTGACTGTTACGGGGGTGCCTTTTACAAAGATGATATTCAAGTTGTTTCTTAAAGGGTAAGGCAAGAGATTGAATGACAAGAGAAGGAAGGAGGCCAAAGAAGTAAGATTCCACAACCCACCAGGTGAACAGAAAGAGGTGAGGGCACGAACACAGAATCCAGAAGCAAAAACACCTAACATCTGAGTTCATGCTCTGTATGAAAACTAAAATTCTAAGTGTAATTATCATTATTATTGGCATTCCAGGCAGAAGAACCCAGCACGTCCAACGGCATGGTTAAAGAAGGTAAGATATCTATCAAAGGACAAGAAGTTCAGACTGGCTGAAACC